AGAGGTGGTGCGGTTGGCGCAGGATAGAGCAGGGTTTAGAGCTGTTGTGCATAGGGTCGCTATGAGTCGGAAACGACTCGATGGCACATAACAACAACAACAATCTATCAGCATCACCACTACAATCATTCATTGCCATTTTGAATTTGCTCTTTAAAAATGAAGGGTATATAAACAAATATCTTTAAGCCCTATATTTATTTCCAATCCCTTCCATAAGGTCAAGTATTCTTAAAATGTCAATTTTAGATATGGACTTTTGACCTTTTATTATGGGAGACTAACATTTAGCTCCCTCATCCCTTTATATACACACTCTCCTTTTAGATTCTTAATATATATTTATCACAATTTTAATCAGTATTATATTTTATACTGTTATAACTATTAATATCTAAATATGATTAATCGCTGAATCATGTTATGATTTACTTTTTTGTTTACTTCATTTTTTGAGTACTTAGTACTAATTCTGCAAATTTCTAACAAAACTTAAAGTGGTTTTGTGTTTAAGAACAGAAGGCAACTTATAATTTTCTTTTAAAAGTATCTTATCTGAAGCTACTTTCCTTCTGCATTAGTCGAGCCTGCCTCTCTTGGCTGGTTACACATTTCTCACCTGAGGCTGCCCTTGACCGTAGCCTAGAAATTCCCTTTGCCACCTCTCTGTTGGGGTGGCTCGTGTTTTCTCTTTTGTTAGTTTACATCTATGAATTATCAGGGCATATCCTAGTATGAAAAGATGAATCAGATAAAGATTTCTATTTTAAGTTCTTGCCTGAAAATTACTTTATTCTTTCATCTCTCTTTACTGATGATTTGGCTCAGTATAGGCTTCAAAACACAGAACAATATTCCATTCACATTTTGATGCTGTTACTTCATTATGATTGTAAATCTTATGGGGAGATTGTAAACTTTCTCCCACAGAGAAGCTTGTGGATTTGAACTACTGACCATTTGGTTAACAGTCTGACGTGTTACACACTATATGGCCAGAGTGGTGGTGTTGTGTACTGTCAAGTCAGAACTGAATCCTAGCTGACCCTCTCGTGGGTTTTCAGAGGCAGTAAATTGCAAAGGAGTAGATTGTCCATCCTTCTTCCATGGAGCAGCTGATAGATTTGAACCACATGCCTTTGGGATTTTAGTGCAGTGTAGTGACCTGAAAAATCACAGTGACTTTTCTTAGTGTGTGTGTTCCTGTTGTGCTGAGCATTCAGTATGTCTTTTCTAAATGGACATCCATGTTCCTCAATTCTGAGACATTTTCTTCTATTTTTTTCCTTTCATGATCCACCCCCCTCCATTCTCTCTGAAACGTCTCTTAACTGTCTGTTGTAGCTCTTGGTGTATTTGAGTCTAGTGCCTCTTGGTACTTCTCTACCTTCACTAGAAAACAGAAGAGCATTCACCCAGCTGTGTGGAATTAGGAGGGACTCCAAGAACCCATCTATTTCCCTGTTCAGATTCTCAGGCAATCCTCTTAAGCTTACCACCATCCTTACATCAGGCTCAAGGTGTAGTTAACTTGGGATCTCCAATTCCTGAGCATTTCAGTGACCCTGGCACTCACATGAGTTTACCACTTGTTGGTACCCTCCCTGAACACTGGGAGGGCTTAGATTTTCACTATACCAGTTACTGCTCGGCCATTGACATGCCACTTCCAAAAGATGTAACATTTTTTTCATTGACTTTTCCTCTCGTATTTATTTTCTTTGTCTTAATGCATCTTTAGTTTAAAAACCCTATCTCTTTGCTCTCATTTTAGTGAGCATTTAAAAGGAAAAAAATATGCATGCTTGTTTTATCTGTCAGAGTAAATTAGAACTGGTGAGGTTTCCCCACCCCAGGCTTTGAAATGCGGTTGTTGTTGTTGTTGTGTAACATCAAGTTGAAACACACTCATAACCAAACCTCCAGCGGGTTTTAAGAGTCAGTAAATCACACAGGAGGAAAGTGTCCATTTTTCTCCCATGGAACAGCTAGTTGATATGAACTGTATACCTTTGAGTTGGCAGCACAACTCCTTACCACTCAATCACCAGAGTGCAAAATGAGGTAGTTGTGGAAATAAGACCAAGTTTCTGGATACTGAAGTGCTAACAATTGAGTGAATATTGGATAGCAGTTGCCTGTTACTTAGAATTATTCTAAAAAATACAAGACAAGAAGTCCATTTGCTGATTGTTTCTCATCTCTAGAGTTGATTTAGCAATAAATGCTACTTTGTCATTTAGCTATGACAGATCTTTTAAGATAAAGTTAAACTTACAGTGTGTTAATTAGCAGTTGCAATATTATTTAGTGTACAGCAAAGGAGTGTTTGGGGTGGATAATACTTACCTTCTCTAGCTTTGCGTATTATTTATCTTGAAGAAAGAGCATTAAGACTTAAGGAAGGTACATTTGTCCAGTTTTGCACTCAGAGCTGACCTGTCAAATGTAGTCATATTTAGAAGGTCACTGACTGTGGATCATAAGGAACTTTTAGTGGCTTCACATCTGCTATTTGTGGGGAATGGCTTTGCAGGGTGGAAGCCTCTTTCTCACCAAGCTTCATTGGGAAAACTAAGTCATTTGGGTGGGTCGTGGAGCTTTATCTCACTTGAAGATGGCAGGATTTGGGGTGTGTCTGTATCATCATGTTTTTTTGGCTTCCATAAATTTTGCTAAGTTTTAACACCGCACAGTGTCTCTGACATTTGTATCAGTGTATGTTTTTTTCAAGAAGTCAATACCCTTTTCCTTGCCTCTTGTCAGAAACATGTGCTGTCAACAATGGAGGCTGTGATCGTACATGCAAGGACACTTCAACGGGTGTTCACTGCACTTGTCCTGTTGGATTCACACTCCAGTCGGACGGGAAAACCTGTAAAGGTAGCCTGCGAGTTTCTAGGGAAGCTGGGCACGCTGGTTTGAAAAGAAGCTTCAAACTGTTAATGGTAGTTCTTCCCATCTATAGCCACCTCCTGCATGACTCCAGATCTGTCTATGATTCATATTGGTGGAAGCCTTTCTTCCCTGGGCTAGTGGAAGGTTATAATTGAGCAAGGTTAATTAGAGCTAGTTTAATTGCACTAACTGTCAAGAAGGTCAGTCTCTACAGGCATTAAATAATCCATCTCCACCAATGGCCTTATTAGAAAAAGGCAGAAGTTCAAGGAAACATTGTTTGTAGGAGATAATATCAGCATATCATAAATAACAGCCTCCAGATTATTATGTAAATAACAGCCAAGATTATTATCCAGAGTGCTTAATGAATAACTGTAAGATTAACTTTTACTGATGAAGAGAGACCCCAATGACCTGATAGTCTTTCATGGGCAAGAGTACAAAGGATTAGTTCTTTAGCCTGATAAAAAGCAGATAGCCAGTTACCAGATGAAACGGAGAAAAGATAAGATTAATTTGAGTATCAGGAATCATTTAAAAGCATTGAGGCTATTTGATCATTGTGCAATTTGCCGAAACAAATGTTTTAGTCTCTTATAGCTTTAATCATTAAGCTCAAATGGAAAGTATATAAAAGTAAGCCATTTTTATCTAGAGAATGCATTAGGAGAAGGAGAATACAACAGGGCATGCTTATCCTTTCCCTTCCCTGCTAGTCAGGGGCAGTTTAAGTCAGAGTTTTCAAGAGGATAATAATTTAGAAAAAAAAAAAAATGAGTAAGCCAGACAAGAAAATGCATGTAAGACTAAAACAGCAGCAAACATCCTTAAATGGTTTTATGGATCTGTTCTTCTTTCAGAGAATAAAGAGGCACACACAATAGTGCTTCAGGGGTTTGCAGACACGAGGCAAGTACTGCTGTCTGATTTGTCGATGCTTTACTGTTACAGATATTGATGAGTGCCAGGCCCGCAATGGTGGTTGTGATCATTTCTGCAAAAACACCGTGGGCAGTTTTGACTGCAGCTGCAAAAAAGGATTTAAATTATTAACAGATGAGAAGTCTTGCCAAGGTATGTGTTTAAAATGTAGCTCTGCTGTGAAGTTGCCTGCTGGTTCAAGCAGAGAAGACAACCCCACCCCAATTGAGATTCGTTTGCTGGGGTTCTTGAAGGAATCACCAGCTTTGCTTCACATACTTCCTCTGTTAAATAAAAATAAAGCCTCTGATGTAGCTCACAGGCATATTATTGAAATTATGCTGTTAATGATTGCAAAGAAGTTCGAAGAACCATCTGATTTAATTACAGCTGAACTTCTTGCTGGAAATAGAACAGGATGCAGAATGCAAGGGGGATTGTAATGGGGTGTGGAGATTAGGAATGTTTTTCCTTCTCTAAGAGTTCCTTAAGTGTTCTTGATTTTTATCAGTTATTAATGGCAGTGATACGTAGATTTAATTCAAATGTTGTTTCTAGCAAAAAGTTGGTTTGACCCATAAACAAGACCACTCTTGCTCTCTTCTTTCTAGTTCTTTTTAAGAAGCCTTTGGAGCTTAGGAGGGTGACAGTGAGGGAGGGAGGGGACCGTGTAGAGGAGATGCTAGTTGATCCTCTGCAGCATCACAGACTCTTCAACAGTGTCTCCTCTTTACCAAAGGGATACAGCAAGAGGGCTGCACTGGGTAGAAGGTGGCACTGATATTAGCAACTCTTCTGGAGAAGTGGGACATAATGCTGAGTTGTTGTGTAGAGTTGGAACCGACCCATAGCTGACCCTTCTGAAGGTTTTCAAAGGCAGTTATTCGCACGGGAGGAGATTGCTCATCCTTCTCTTGCAGAGCAGCTGGTGGCCTCAAACTGCATGCCTCCGGGATTGCAGCACAGCTTCTCGCCACTAGGCCACCAGAGTGGGCATGATTTATATGTTCTTTCCCCCCCTCATCTTCATTGGAATTTGGATGAAAGTTTACAAAGCAAATTGATTTTCAGTTCAACTGTTCATACACATTTTGAATTATGACATTACTTACATTACCTATAATGTGATCAGACTTTCCCAGGCAGCAGTTATTTTTTTTTAAATGACGACCTTTAGTGTTTTATTTACATGTAAGAAGCAGCTCTCAGGGAAAAATGTGCTGTTACTTTTACCTGCTCTGTTTGTGGGATTGAAAACTATCTAGTTCATTTTGTTATAAATACCACTATCGAATCACTGTATATAATCTTTGATTTCACTTCAGATAATAAAGCTGTAACATCACCTTTTAAAAAGGAGAATATGACTTGGATTGGTCTCCTTTCTGGGTTTGCTCTTATATACGCTTGTTGGAAAGTCTGCGTAGTATTCTCTTTTAAATTCAGTAAGTGAATTCGTTCTAGATGATTATTATATGAATTTCTGTAGTTTGACTTGGAAAGCAAATTTACTGTTCCATATTATGTTTCATAATGTATAGAGCAAGAAATACTGTTTGAGCTGTGTAAACATATTAAAAAGGAATTAGAAAAGTGATCTCATTATTTTTGGCAGAGGCAAATCCTATAGTGGGCAGCCAAAGTCAGCTACCGAACGAGTCTAGTTTCTTAACAACTGGCTGATATTAATAACAGATTTCATAGAATGGCATCAATTACTTGGGAAGTAACTGATTTTTCCTCATTTTTCACTGATAAGTTATGGTAGAACAAATATTTGCACAGAACAAATTTACTGAAGAAATCGCCAGGATTTCTGGGAAAGGCTAGGATGAAGAGGTTTTGTAAGAATTTGACCTTTTTTTATATCACTTTTTCATCCCTCCAGTTCCCTTCCAAAACGTTGGTTTTTTATTAACGTAGTTTCTTGTAGCATATTCAGTGTTGACAAAGCCGTCTAGCAATGGTCTAGTTGGCGTCCACTGACTTCTGTGCTGATCCTGGTTTATCCATTTGGAGACATAGGTCGTAATTCTGTTAAAACCCTCCAAAGAGTTGAGAAAGTAAAATACTGAAATTCTAGCCTACAGGAAAGATGTGAGGGCCAGACCATGGGAAAAGAGAGGATTAGATAGACAAATGCAGGCTAAGGTCTGTTTCCATGATGCCAGCTAAGGGCAAGGGTGCCTCTACTCGGAGCATGCAGGGTGCAGAACATTTGGGATTCACTGTGATGAGGCTCAAAGTGAAGGCATTGGCCAGGAGCATCTAGTTTGAAGCGTAAGCAGTAATTTCAGTGTCTGGACTAGAAAATTATCAGAGATATTAGAAATAACTCATTCTTATGGTTCAGAGGCATTGAAATCCAAGATCAACTGGCCTCATTGGGGCAGAAGACTAACTCTATGAAGGTTGAAGAGAGACAGGAACCAGATTTACTTTCACCTAAAGTGCTTTCTACTTTCAAGAGTTGATAAAATTACTGTTACTGTTTGAGTAATAAAAATACAACAGTCATCTAATTTAGGACTTTATAATGTACAAAATTATTTTTTATGGGCTATATCACTTGGCTATATTTGAATCATTTTATTTACTCAGCTCTGCATGAATGAGAGAGATTAATGGAGCTTTTAGTTTGCAGCAGAATTTGGAAATAAGGTTCCTGGTCATGAGCACATTTGTTGTACTTTATCACAAGTGGGCAAAGAAAACTGATGGTTCATTTCTGAGCCTGTTTGCTGTTGTTTGTGGCGTTGATGAGCCACTGGTGTTTATTATAAACATACTCTTCTCTCCACTCCTCCCTTAGAGTTGGTTTCAGCTCCTCTTTCCCTTTGAAAATTGCAGATGTGGATGAGTGCTCTTTGGATAGGACCTGTGACCACAACTGCATCAACCACCCTGGCTCGTTTGCATGTGCCTGTAACCAAGGGTATACCCTCTACGGCTTCACACACTGTGGAGGTGAGCAGGCTGTCTCTCCAGAGTTAGGAGGTGGGATGAGGCTGAGCCTGGCAGGGAGCAGGCCAGGAACTCAGGCTTTCCCAGATCAACGGCTTTAATTTTCCTACACTGGGAGGATGAAAGGTGCATTTCTAGTCCCTAAACTGAAGTAATGAGCTTATCTGCTCAAGGAAAGCATCTGCTAGGGGAAATCTCCCACATTTATCCCTTTAACATGTCAAGTGTGAAATGGAGCAGAGAGAAGAGCTGAGTTCTTTCAGCTGCAAACTCTTTATTGGCTTTTTTGATGAAGTTGTATTCAGAGAATGGGAAGGTCTCTCCAGAGCTGATAGCTTGTCTTTGGAACTTCCTAGGAGATAGTAAAGTCACAGGCCTTAGAGAAAGTTGGCAGGACACCAGTCAGTCCTATAGTCCTGCTGTGAATAGGAACTGACAGCAAATGCTTGATTCAAGCCTCACAATTAGATTTTTGAGTTCTTATCTCTGCCTTATTCTCATTTAGCAATGATGTCATATAATCTTATGGTAAAGAAGTCTATGGTACAAATCAGATTTAGAACCAACCCCCTACATCAGGCTTTACCAAAATGTAGACTTGCAGATCCTGATTCAGGATATCTAGGGCTTCCAGTGCGATTTTGAAAGTCATTGGTGCATATAATGTAACACCTGGCACTTCCTTGTGCCCTGAGCTTGAGAAGAATGGATAGAAGTGATTGCTGTAGATGGCAATCTTACTTAACATGACTAAATGCATACTCTTACTTAGAAATCTCTGAAAAAAAAATCTCTAAGGACATATACTCTGAATGCATATCTATAGCTGAGTTAGTTAGTTGAATTTATGTATTGATACTCTGAATGCAAATCTATATCTGGATTAGTTAGTTGAACATATACATTTAAATGGAGAATCCACATTCTCTCTAGTTCCGTAGATATGCAGCCTAGGAAGATGGTAAGGTTTTAAAGTTGGAAGCCTGTGCAATGGCCCAGTTGGGACATCTAAAAGTAGAGTATTCCCTTCAGAGTATTCCTAACAGAGGCCTGGTTTATTCAAGAATGAAACTTGAGATCACCCCTGGCAAGACCATGCCAGAAAATGCATGGATGGGGTCTGTGGCCAAATGCATATGGGTCCCAAATGCATTTCCTGAAGTCAGTGAGCATTTTCCCTTCACTTAACCCTCCCCTCCTGCTCCTTCCCTGAAGGAAGAGTCAGTCAGCCACAAGCTGCTGTGACAAGAGAGTTTTGTTCTACAGACACAAACGAGTGCAGTGTCAACAACGGAGGCTGTCAGCAGGTCTGTGTGAATATAGTGGGCGGCTACGAATGCCAGTGCCACTCTGGATACAAGCTCCACTGGAATAAAAAAGACTGTGTGGGTAAGGGGCGCCAAGGTGCACTTAGTCAGTGGGGCACCCACTGGCCCAGAGGTGGTGTGGCTTTGTGCATTCTCCCCTGTCCAGTTGGACTTGGAGTGCGGCTGACCATCCCTCCATTTAATTCTCTTCCCCTCAGCTGCAACAGTCTTCATTTAAATAGTTCAAAAACAGGAGATACTTTACTTTGCAGGCTGGCTTTTTGGTGTTTCCTCCTAAGCTGCTTTCTGTGTAGGTTGAATTTATTTCTACTTTCTTGGCTGCTTTTCTGCATGACAATTAGTATACAAAAGATTCCTTTAACCTGATGGGAAGTAGTGCCTGGTGGTTGTCCTGTGTCAGCTCTACCATCTTTTCCTGATACCGCGGGGCCTTTGATATGTAGAACTTACTTGTCATAGTCACGGTTGGAAGTTTGCTTCTCTTTCCGTAAGTGTCTGTGTTTTATCTCATTTAGAAGTGAAGGGATTCCTGCCTAATAGGACACCCCGTGTGTCCCTGCATTGCAGTAAAAGTGGTGGAGGAGACAGGTGCTTCCTAAGATGTCACTCTGGCATTCACCTTTCTTCAGGTGAGTGAGTCCCCAGTCCCTGGGGCAGGTTCTGTGTCAGAGCCACGTCTTCTTGGCTTCCAAGTATTAGATAAGCCTTGATGGACGTCTAAGTTGTAGGCTGGATGCCCCTAATTTACACTCTGAGACCCAGTATGCTGAGTATGTTCTAGTGGTCTATTACTCAGAGTGTGAAGGGTAGGGCCACAGTGCACATGGTCTCCGAGAGCAGAGGTTGATTTTCAAGGCTTCAGATCTGTGTAATTTGTTCTACAGGATTTTTTTTACTTATTTGGTACCTTCTTTCCCTCTATTTTCTCAGAATTATAATAGAAATTCCTATCTTGTGCCTGTTCTACCATGCGCTTTGGAAGCAGTTAATTCATATTCTAGAGTCATAGGTTCACAAGTGAAGAGGAATTTTGCCACAAGATGGATATTATGCCTAAAATATCACCCATTTTTATTTAGATGATTCAGAAAATGAGATTTTGGGCTTGGAGTTGATTTAAGATTTTTGGGATGATGTGATAAGATGAATATGTTTTACATATGGCAAGGATTGAATTTGGGAAGAGAAGCAAAGGATAGAATGTTATATATTGAAATGTGTTGTAAATCCTAATCTTTATGCCTCTGTTATAATCTTATATCAGAATGGGTTGACTTTGTTTTGCTAATCTGACAAAATTAGTGTGAAGTGTATCTTGCGTTGATCTCTTTGACATATAAAAGAGATAAAATAAGCAGAGTAGGGATGAGGTAAAATCAATTCCAAGATACGTGGAAATCTCCAAGGAACCAGGAAACAGAAGGTGAAGAGACAAGATCTTCCTCCAGAGCCACCAGCGAGATAAGGAATTTCCCTGGAGCTGGCTCTCTGAATTCTAGGTCTCCTAAACTTTGAGAAAATTTATTTCTGTTTCTTAAAGGCATCTTCGTGTGGCATTTCTGTTGTAGTAGCACTAGATGACTAAGGCATGTTCCCTGTGGAGTAGGGGTGGAGGGTTGTTTGAAATGTTTCCAGGATAGACTGTAGCATTACTTACATGTTGACAATCCACGTTCTGTCTGTTAGGACCGCAAGACGCCTACTCTGTTACCTGCGGTGCTTCTTCTCCTCTCAGGAACAAACAGCAAAAAGCAAATGACTCTTCTTTTGGGGGTAATTACCAAATCTGCGTGCTCTCCTCGGGATTCCCTGTAATCAATGGGCTTCATTCATTGGGCAATATTCTCGGGTGTTAGCTTTGTCTTCTTTTCTTTAAATTGCTTCAACACTGTGTGCACATTACAGAGTATTCTTGCTTACAATCCTGATACCTAAGATCCGACTCATCATGTAATGGACACTTACAGAGTGTCCGCTCTATGCTAGGAGATGCCACATTCAGCCTTGGTTGGGTTATCATATTAGCAGAGGCCCACAGAATTCAGGTACCAGGAGACATCACCCCTCCATTACTGTTGAGTGACCCTGTACTCACTTTACCCCAGAGCACCTTATCAGGACAATGGGAAGTATGTGCTTGGGGCACATGGAATGTTTGGAGACCGATATGAGCAGATCAGAGGAAGCAAGGAATCTGTGGACAGATTCCTCTGATTTGTCATGAGATTTATATAGATATAACTACAGATGCCTCAGTGATCATGTCAAGGAGCTCTGGTAGCATAGTCAGTAGGATGCTAACCCAAGGACATGTGTCTCTGGCGGTTTGAATCCACTACTGGCACCATGGGATCAAAATGAGTAGTCTCTTCCTGTCATGAAACTTAGAAACCTGGGGGGGGGGGGGCGCGTTGCTATGAGTTGGACCAATCTGATGGCTCTGAGTTTAAGTTTGAATGATTATGTTGTTAGAATATATGAATGAGAAATGAATCTATGTATGTGGGCCAAGCTAAAGACCAAAAGCAAAACTGCTTACATATATTAAGCCGTTTAAATATACCAGCCCATGTATTAGTTGATTGAATCCACATAGCTCTTTTGATAAATTTTAAAGCTATTCTCATGAAACATAGGGAAAAAATTGATATTCAGCAAGGTGAAACAATATATTTAAAGTGTCTCAACTAGGGAAAAATGGGACAGGAATCTAAACCCAAGTCTGAATCCAGAATTTTAACCATTATTCTTCTTCCACTAGCTTCTTTTGTCTGGCCAAGCCAGAGCAGATATCATGGTTCTGTTTCCTCAATACCACTGGTAATATTCAACTGGCAATTTAGGCCACTCCAAGTGTGACCAAACAGTTAACTGTTGTCTTTGAGTCGGCTTCTACTTATAGCGACCCTACGTACAACAGAAGAAACCCCACCTGATCCTGCTCCATCCTCAGAAATCTCTGCTCTGCTCAAGCCCGTTGTTACAGGCTCTGTGTCAATCATCTTGTTGAATATCTTTAACTATTGGCTTGTAAAATGAAGCCTAGCAAATAGGAAGATGAGGCAAAGCAAGTAGTTAATAGATATTTAGGTGGTTTTCACTATCAGACAGGTCTGTCCTGGTGGGGGTGAAACCAGGTTGCTTCTTGGAAGCAAGGATTTTGAAACTCTGTCTCATACTTTGGGCATGTTGCCAGAAGGGACCAGTCCTTGGAGAAGGACATCATGCTTGGAAGGGTAAAGGGTCAGTCAGCACAGGAGAAGACCCCAGATGATATGGATTGATATTGTGACTGTGGCAATGAGGTCAGGTATGTCAGAGATGGTGAGGTTGGCTCAGGATAGGGCAAGATTTAAAGCTATTGTTTTGTTTATAGGGTTGCTATGAGTAGTAGTTGGCCCAACAACACATAACAACAACAACAAACAACATCAGGTGGTCTAAAATGGGGGTCTTTTTTGCATCATTTGGTTTCATTCTTAGAGGATTCGGATAATGTAGGTGCTGTAGTTATGTTCATTTTACAGATGAGAAGCCTGAGGCTAGAGAGATCAAGTAATTTGCTCAGCTCCCTCCATAGTCAAAGAGCTAACTCCAATCATCAAGCTTTAACCCTAGGACTAACACCAATACTGAGAAGAAAACAGAACTTGGCATGTTGCACCCTCAAAATGAGACACTTGATTCATCCTAGACCTTGGGAATTCTGGCACATCCTAGTCAGGGCAGGTGACTTTCTCTGCCCTCTACTTCTAGATATACTTAGGAGAGCCAGCCCTTTGCTATCTCTCTCAAAATCTTGTTCAAATTTGAACTGGTAGATACTGAAGTTCTTTCTCAGAAAGGCAAACAGGTTGTTTCATCTTTCATCTTTTCACTGAGGCTGTTTTCAGACTTTTGTTATATTTAAATGTTAGACATGTGGAATGTCTCTTACTGGACTCTTAGAAGATTCCTAATGTTCTTCATCCAGGATAATGGATACTCTATGACCCAAACTTTATGGGTCTCCAGGTTAAAAGAGAAACTGCATCAATCAGTGTTGGGGTGTGCAGCATGGGGTGGGACTTAGTCAATCAATAGTTTGCCATTGTCCCTCTGTTATTGCCATTCCTTTGACTCTGAAGGTAATATTTCTCACTTGTTTCTTTCTGAAGATGTCGCCACCATCAGGACAAGTGTAACCTTTAAGCTAAATGAAGGCAAGTGTAGTTTGAAAAAGGCTGAGCTGTTTCCTGAGGGTCTGCGACCAGTACTACCAGGTATGGAATCAGGTGGCTGGTGCAGGGAGAGTGCCTGCATGTTGGGAAAGGGAACTGTGACAAGCTGAGGTAGAAGTCCAAAGGAGGGCTTGTCTGTCCACTGAGTCAAGTGCGCATCAGATAGGATTGATCAGTTCAGATTCTCCAAGAACTCTATCTACAGCCTACGTAACCCTTGCATAATGCTCCAGAGCATCCTTTATGAGGTACTGTTGGTGAAATGCCAGGGGAACCTATGAGTTCACAGTCAGCAGTGAGGCTCAAGATGCATTACAATTTGTGATTATATTGAGTTAAACTTTCTAGAGTTTAAAGTTTGCTTCACCTAGAAGCCTAAACAAATGGGGAGGAGAAAAGTTTGGCTCTGAATGAAAAATCTTTGATCGTTACAAAGATGTAATGCCCAGCAATCCCGCTGGGTCTAGTTTTTTGAGGCAGCAACTCCTTTGGCTTTAGCATAGCAAATACCATCCAAGTAGAACTGGCCTTCTTGAAAAGAACAACATCCAACACTCCTTTCTTCCCAAGCTCACATTTCCAGCACCATCTCATAGGATAATTTTAGACTTTTTTTTTAATGGTAGTGGAATAATTGGGAAAAGATTATGTGTGGTTGCACAGCATAATTCGTGCACTCAACAACACTGCTTTGTACATGTAAAGTGTGTTGATGTGGCAAATGATTTATTAGATCATCTTTTACCAAAGTGAGATTCATGTACTAGGAAGCTTCTTTCCCCAACTCATCTTCAAATAATTCATACAAAAAAAGTAAAGTTTACTCTAGTCACTTCTGATTTCCTACTTAAATAGCTAACTGAGATCAAGTTTGATACTGCCATTTATTTGAAATATTATGCTGCCATTAATTACATATTTTCAAATAAAGCTCAGTGACATAGAAAAAATTTCATACTGCTAATAGGGAAAAGGGGAGAGTAATATTTTGCATATAAATGCTCTACAGCTAACATTTATACTTTCAAATCAAGAGTAAAAACATTGTTTAAAAGTTTATTTACCCCATAGTAAATTGTACTGTATCAGTATCTGTTTTTTAAATTTTGATAAATATACCAACAATGTCACATTAGAAGATGAAGAGTCTGTAGAAATTCTCTTAGTAACTTAGTAACTTTCATGGAAATCTAAAATTATGTCAAGGAAGAAGGAGAAAAGAAGAGAAGAGAATATTGAAAAAAAACATTAAAAATGAGCATCTGGTTTGACCTTTAAAGCCAGTCTTCTGAAAAGACAATTTTAGAGAAGCTTATAATACAGATTATACCTCAATTCACTAAAGTAGGGTTTCGAAATAGAAAATAGTTGGGTGAACTTGCTTTTCGTGCAGAGTGGCAATCATTAATTCACTAGTGCCCTTGTGGAGTGGAGAGATGACCAAAGTCAGGGAAAGGGATGTAAAAAAAACCTCCGTTTTACACAGCTCTTTCACTCTGTACTAGATGCCTTAATAACATTGTTTGGTTCTGTTGATTTGTTGTGTTATTAATTGCTCTTGGTTCTTTCAAAATGAGACGTCACTGTTACACTTTCCTGCTCTCTCTTGGAGTTGGGATTGCTCTGAGGTTGCCTGAGAACAGTGTCCTTTGCACTCCTGTGCTCTTGCCTCATTTGAAGTCTCGGTCTGATAGATCATAGTCCCCAGTTTTTTTTAAAAAGTCCTCTGTAGAACACGTGTACATCTTAGGACCCAGCCTTCAGCAGGAGGGAGGCGAGCAGATAACCTCTTGTTCTCATCTTCCACAGATGTGGCTGGTCTGTCGGAAACATACTGCATTTATCTATGAAAAAAATGTTCAAGGGCTCAATTGTAAAGTTATATAGGAGAGAATATGGGCTCTTCAAAATTAAAATGTCATTGTGCTTCAAGCTGAGGGCTTTGCAATGTCTTGGCATCTGGAGTTAATCACTTGGTCCCTTAAGAGTTGTTTTAATGAAATGTTTACTGAGCTCTAGCGAATGTTCAGCTGAGTGCTTTGCCAGGATTTGGCTTCCGATAATTTTGTTTCTTCATACAGAGAAGCACAGTTCAGTAAAAGAGAGCTTCCGCTACGCAAACCTTACATGCAGCCCCGGCAAGCAAGTTCCAGGAGCCCCTGGCCGCCCAAGCACCGCTAAGGAAATGTTTATCACTGTTGAGTTTGAGCTTGAAACTAACCAAAAGGAGGTAACAGGTTGGTTTGAAAACAGTCTTCAGGGCCAGGCTTCTCACAGCTTGCTCCTTATTTCTTTGCCTTTCGTTTTTCATCTTTCTTGGGGGGAAAGCTAGTGCAACTATTGAAGTATCTCCTGTTTTGTTGGTTTTTTTTCTACCCCAAGTATTAACAGAATCTGTTTACAACCTTACGAGTTTATCTGATTTTTATGCAAACCCCAAATTACCATTCTGGTCAACACATTTCCATTGAGTTGAATGCTGCCCAGCCAAATGGGTGCCCACCTCCAGGTCTCCTCCATCCTGTCCCACATGGAGTTCTGGGTGTTGGGGGGGGCGGGTCCTGCAGTCTGTCTGGACATCCCCGCATGCTGTGGCCTGGCCTCCTTTCCAAAAGCTGCCCCTCTTCTTCTTGCAGCTTCTTGTGATCTGAGCTGCACTGTGAAGCGAACAGAGAAGCGACTCCGGAAAGCCATCCGTACACTTCGGAAAGCAGCCCATAGGGAGCAGTTTCATCTCCAGCTGCCAGGTGTGGACCTCGAAGTGACTAAAAAGGCCCGCAGAACATCTGAGCGCCAGGCAGAGTCCTGTGGAGTGGGTCAGAGCCATGTTGGAAACCAGTGTGGTGAGTGACCTGTTGACCAGAACATTCTTGCTAACTTAACTGCCTCAGAATTGCCTCAAGTCCTGTAAACACACAGGGAACCAAAAATAAGTCTGGCTCACTGTCCCATCTCCAGGATCCCTCCAGAAATACTCTAGATTCCTTCCACATTCAGTCACTGTCATGATGGTATCTGTCCTGCCTCCTAGGCTAGAAGCTCCCCAGGGGCTGAGATTGAGTCTCATTCACCTCTACGACTCTAGTGCCTGGAGTAGTATCTGGTTGTGGTGGCCTGTTGAATTGAGGAGCAGAAAAGAAGAAGTAGGACTGGTGACAAAGAGAGAATGTTGCCATTGTAAGGTCTGAGGGAAGTGATCTCCAGTTGGGGCAAGGCTGAAGCTATAAGGCGTTCATAAACCTTCTCCACACTCCATTATCACCATTTCTTTCCACCATCTCCCTTTGGTTTATGAATAGTGACCTGTCGCTTTGTGCAGATGTGAGGTCAGGGGATGCCAGTCAGCTGCCTTATGAGATCCTAAGCATCATTCAGTCCATGGCATCCACAAGTATCAGTTACCATAGTAACTAGTACCATATGTTTCTGAATTAATTTTAGATCTGGCATTTGAATATTATCACCTCTGCTCCTCTGATAAAGCTGATAAGAAGCTCCAGCTTGGTGAGCTTCAAAATGTTTGCCGCACCATTTGATGGTGGGTGGGGATGAGTGAAGGAAATGGGGAAGATCCGGTGTGAAGAACAATGTATTAGAACTTTGAAAATAAATCAGTATAAAATAATTTTTAAAAAAATGCAAAAAAAAAAAAGATTGGGAAAATTAAGGCAAGAAAGTCTTAGGTAGAGAAACTTAGGGTCCAACTTTATGGTTAGCAATGTCAGTGATTTACTGAGGTTTTACTTAGTGCATTCCTAAGCACTGTGTATGCATTATCTCATGTCATTCCAACAGTAACTTGATGAGGTAGGTATATGTTATCTCTGTTAATAGGAGAATCAACTGAAGGGCAGAGGGGTGAGTTCTTTTGCTCAAGATCACATTGCTAGTTTGATTCCGAAATTCCAAAGTTCTGGTCCCAAATAAGGAGAATTTAAATAAATCGGCTCCTTTCCAGTGTAAATTGGTGCCATTTCTGAAATGCTGATAGAATTTTAAGGAATGGGAAACGAAGCTTGATCTGAGAAGTAATAAATCAACATTTCTGAGTAAGCAAAACTGAGCCTAGGGACACTTGATGAATTGTCAGGAATAGTCTTATAGCCTAACCCTGTTGTTTTGCCAACACTTAGTAAAAATCAAATGTAACTTCCACCAGGAGCTGGTTCACAGGCTTTTTACTTAGATTACAGCTGACTCTTTTTAAAAGTGGCAGGGGGGTGGGCAGGGGGGACGGGGATGAAAATAACCCAGCTGTTAGATTTGTTCTCATTTAAAACTCTAAGTGTTCTAGTTTCCATACCAAAGAAGTGGTGATGGAAGTTGGCTGTTGCTGTCCTACTTTCTGGGTGAGTTGCAAAAATTATCTATGTCTGCAGGCTGGGCTTCCTGGTGGACTTTGAGTCCGAGTATGTCCTCCAAAGCTCACTTGGCAAGTCTTTGTGGCTAGCTAAGAACTCGGGAAAAAGCTAGTGTTGAAGGTTCTGTGGACCAACTCTCATTACGAGTGTTACTAGGAATTCCTGGCTTAAACTAAGCTACTAACTGAAAAACTGGTGGTTCAAACCTACTCAGAAGGACCTTGAAAGAAAGGCCTGGCAATCTGATTGGGAAAAGTCACAGGTATAAAAATCTTGTGGCGTGCAGTGAGACACATGGGTTTGCTATGAGTCATAGTCAGCTCACTGGCAGTTGTTGTAGCTGCTGTGAATAAACGAGTGATTGAGATTCTTGTTATTGCTAAATAAAAAGTTGGATTATTTTTTTTCTAAAGAAAACAATTCCCCCTCAGTGCTTTCTCTAGCATAAAAGGAATTTTGTAGTATACATGGGATCAAACTGTCTGATAGTAGTGTTGAAGCTTTTATCAAATGTAGAAAAGACAGCACAAAAAATTTACTGGTGACATCTTTTCTACTGAAGAAAGTTTGGGTAAAGAAAGACCTGATGCAATAATTAGACATTTTACCCAGCAAGCATGGGACTCTATCAAGTCACAGAGTGTGTGTCTGTGTGTTCATGAGAACATATGTGTGTGTGTTCTATGTTCCTACTCTACTTACAGGTGTTAGAACCTCACAAAGACCAGCTTACTGGTGTTTTCTGAACTCTAGATGGTATCTATAAGGAGATAAGCCTAGAAAGGCTCTTTTTGAAAATTATTGATCAGTTTACGGCTGAAAGGAGCCCAAACAGTGTTTTGTGTCACCTAGAAGGAAAGATAAGACCATTATGCTTTTTATAAAATAAAAAATCCAAACTTTTAAATTTAAAAAATAGTACATATTTAAAATAGTTTAGAAATGTATGCATTAAAAGATAAACCTCCTCACAACCCCCCTCCTATATCTTAGCAGTAATCACTGTTAATAATTTTCTATGTATTTTTCCACATCTGTAGTGGGGTACATACAAACATGATATTTTATTTATATATTCAATACTTATTGAGCACCTACTATGTACCAGTGACTGTTCTAGGTGTTGGAAATCCAGAAATAATTTAAAAAGCAAATACAAATCAGAGCCCTTATGAATTTTACAATTCTAAAATAAGGTAACAAATAATGAATCAGAAAACAAAATGTATTATGAAGCAGATGGTGTTAAGGACGTGGAGAACTGAGCCGGGAAAGGAACTAGAAAATTCTGGGGCCTGGTAAAGGGTAAAGAGAAGTGTATGCTCCAGATGTAGACTGTGAAGTGTTATTTGGGCAGACATAAAGTTTGTGAGGAAGTAACTATGGAGATATCTGAGAAAGAATTCCTTACAGTACTAGAAAAGAGGCCAAAGTCTCTCAAATTCAAGCTTATTGCCATTGAGTTGAAATCAACTGATAGCTGGTATTCCAGTGAGTTTTTAGAGACTATAAACTTCACAGGAGGAGAGTGCCCTTCTTTCTCTGTTGTCCCACTGATGGAGTTGAACTGCCAGAGAGGAGACACCTTAGAATTGGCAGTGCAATTCCCTATTTGACTAGGCCACCAGAGCTCTCCCCTTACTGAGGAAAAAGATGGGAGGGTTAGATTAATCAAAAAAGCCAAAATTGCTGTTATAGATTTACCTCGTGACATCCCATCCACAGAGTATCACTGAGCTCCCCACAGCTTACTTAGCTGTAATCTTTATAGAAACAGGTCACCAGGCTTTTCCTGGTGCTGCTGACGGGATATGAACCAGTCTTCAGGTTAGTAATTGAGCACAAACTGTTTGAGGGCCTGATTACATAGGGAATTGTAAATCATAACAAGGATTTGGATTTTTAATCTGCATGAGAAAGAAGTCAATGGAAGATTTGGACAGAGGAGTAACTAAGCTTATGTTTTAAAAGAAAAGCTTTGGTGACTGTGTTGAGAAGAGACTGTATGTTTTTGTGTGAAAGGAACTCTGGTGATATAGTGGTAGCATGTTAGACTGCTAACTGAAAGTGGTTGGTTCTAACCCACCAATTCCAAGGGAGAAAAATGAGCAGTCTCTTTCTATAAAGATGGGAGGTTGTTATGAGTAAGCAGTGGGGTTTTGGGTGTGAATAAGTATTTTTTTGGAAAATTTATTACTAAAACTCATACTGTATATTGTATTTACACTTGATCTTAGCCAAAAGGCAAAAAAAAAATAATGCTATATATTGGTTTTTAATTATACAAATCTCATGGATGTCTTTCTATTAATGCAGAATTGACTTAATTTCTTTTAACGTTTTCTCACTGGTGTTCTTGTGGCTTAGTGGGTAAGGAGTTGCACTTCCAGCCCAAGGCAGGCAGTTCAAACCCACCAGCAGCTCTTCAGATGAAAGATGGGTGACGTAGTTATAAGAAACTGCACTACAATCCTGAAGGTAATATGGTTCGTTCAAATCCATCAGCTGCTCCATAGAAGGAGGAAGGGCAATCTCCTCCCATGCCGTTAACTGCCTTTAAAAACCCACTGGAGGGTTTGAGTCAGCTATAGGTCAGTTCCAATTCAACGGTACACAGCAACAACTCCTCCTGAACAATTTACAGATTCTAAAAACTGACTGGAAAGTCAGCTATGGATTGGTTCTGACTCAACAGTAATGAATTGTTGTTGAGTCTTTGTTTAAGTGGGCTCTGGTCACATAGTCTGTAGAGAGTTGCACTGCTAACCCCAAAAGCCCCCGTAGGCTCCAAAGGAGAAAAGATGGGCAGTCACCTCCCTGTGTGACTTACAGCCCTGGGAGCTCTATTGAGGATCAACTATGAGTCTGTGCCAACTCCACAGCAGGAAGTTTTGCTTTGTTTTTGTTTTTTGGGGTATTTTTAGTCTTTATTTGTTTTAAGACACCAATATTAATTAGCCATACCCAAACTGGTAGATAGTTTAGGTTATTCTTAATTTTTCTGTATCACATAGTGCTTCAATGTTTATCCCTCCTAGTGTATGTGGCCCATACTCCCATAGGACGAACTTGTAGACAGACTATCATTGACCCAAAGGATATCTGTATCTAAAGCTTTACCAAGTTGTTCTCCAAAAAAGACCATACCACATCCCTACAGCATTATACCTGAGTATTCGCAGCCCCACTATCTTGCTAATATGGGTTATTTATTATCAGTTTTATTAATTTTTGCAAATCTGACAGGACCAAAATTATATTATTTTTACTTGTTTTTTTTGGATTAGAAGTAAGACTGAGAGTGTTATCATACGTCAGAGGACATTTGGCTTTCTGCCTCTTTCTCTATTGAATTTTTTGTCTTTCCAATACCTTTTTTTTAAAATATTTTTTTATTGGGAAAAACATATTGGGGGTACAAGGAGGTGAGGGTTGGGGCAGAAGGGTGAGGATGGGCCAGGATGCAGTTGCAGAGCTGCACA